CTCTGAGAGCGTTAACAAAGGTGGATTTACCAGAACCAGATTCTCCTGTGATGGCGATATTTAGTTGGGTGTTGTTGTCCTGTAGGGACTCCATGATCTTTCCACCATCTGATGGTCTGTCGGTGTGTTGCAGAGCTGTCTTCATTTCTCTTGTAACTGATTCGCGCTCAGGCTAAAGACTCGCGCTGGTCCCTGACGGCTGTAGAGAAGAAACTACCTGTTACATTTTTGTTTTCTACAAACAGTCTAATGTAAAGACTGAAGTCTGTTTCAGTGAAACATGGTTGAAACTTTAAATTAAAACTATAATTTAAATTCTTTATTAATCACAATATTATTTCCTTTGATCTGACAGGTGATGTAAAATAGTTTTGTGGTCAGATTGTTTCGTATTTGTGTGGATTGAAGCACGCGCTTGTGAGTCCTCAACATTGTACACATCGTACGTATTTGAGACAAACACGACATGTTCAGAGTAAGAACAGGTGAGATGATATCACAGTCTGTGAGGCGTGTGGAGATGAGAGAGGAGGCACAGACACACGGCGATGAGGTGGGTATTAACGAAAGGCGAGCCTTTGCGTTGGCTGAACAGAAATGCTACAAAGCAACAACGACGAGGGGGGAATAAACTAAAGAACATGAGGAAAATATAAAACATTATAAAAGCCTGAAACTGAAATAGAGGAAAGCAGAGGATGAAGAACGGGATGATGAACAGATGAACCAGCAATAAACAAAGCAGACATAGGGCTTAAATACACAAGCGGGACACTGAGAGGATGGGGGACAGGTGGGAACACAGACAGAAATCTGACATAACGAGCCGCAGAGAAGCAAAACTCAATACACTGAACGCAGGACAGGAACTATCACAATAAAACAGGAAGCATGAGACTTTCAACATGACGCAGACTAGACACTGAGACATGGAAACATGAGGCACAGAGACAGAACAGAAACCAGGAACAATAAATATAATACGACAGAAACCCATCATTCAAAGAGTAAAACGTAAACTGACCCACGACCGTCATTGTGATAGCCAGCGATTTGTCATTGTTCAGCAGAGCTTCTTTAATTTCTTCTCTCACAGTTTCAATTTCAAATTGCTTGTCTGTGCTTGTCTCT